TCCCACGGAGCCCGCTTGCGGCTGAGAGCAGACAGCGCCGAGGAGACAGCGCTAGGAAGAGACGTGAACGATCTCTGCTGCTGGGAATGTGATAACCACGTTTCTTTCTCTTCCCGCTCTACTGCTCAGGGGTCTGCACAGAGCAGGCAGGCTGGTGAAAGTAAATTAACTGGCCGACGACTGAAGCCGCTCTTCTGAAGTCAGATTATATTTTAAACGTTCTGTAGACATTGAAATTTTGCTACATGAATTTAAACTCACACTATAGAAAAAAGAAAGAAAAAAAGTTAAGGAATGCATTCAGAATTCCAATTTAATCCCCAAGTTAAAATCCGCTGCAATCCCAAATAGCACACACAACTAGTACAAATAAATGTCTGCGTACAGGCGTCCTTTAGGCGTTTTTGTTTGAAAAAATATTGAATTAATTTTCATTCGACAAAGGTACAGTTAGTCTTTCTGACTTGATCGTGTTATTTACAGAACTGAATTTGGTGAGGAAAGCTTAATTTATATTTTTATTTTAAAATTGTGGAGGGAGCAGATACACCTAAAGAGACTTGAAAAGTCCACTCCCTGAGAAATCGAAACTCACGTTCTCAGCAAGTCCCCGTAATTTACAACGAACTACACGAATTACTAAATCTGGACTGATTTTCTCCCAGGGAGGAGAAATGGTAGGTTATTAGAAAAACTCAATGCCAAACAAAATCTAGGAAAATTTGACATTTATGTAAACACATGCGAAACAAGCTAAATGCTCAAAATGGCATTGAAAAATCTCTCAAAAAATCACTTCAACAATAAAAAAATACTCTCAAGAAATTAGATCAGTTTAAAGTTTTCTAGGATTGACCAGCCCAGTTGACATTTTTTAAAGGTAGAAAATATATTCTCCCTTCTAACAATTGAAATGCTATTGCCTCTAGGTCGCTAAAAATTTTGGGGTAGCTTTCTAACATCCCTCAACTAAAAGCCAAATCAACACACACACACTCTCCACCAAGAACAAATTAACAAAAACCCATTTAGTGCTGCCGCTGAAAGGGGAAATTTTTTTTCTCTTTTTTCTTGATGTCTTTTTTAAGTCACTGAAAATGAAGTTTCTAAAAGAGCAATAAGAAACAATTTTAAAAATTCACCTGAATTGTTATGTAGCTTAGCCTAGCTGAGTTCATCACAGGGTGATTTATCATGCTTTAACAGAAAATCACTTATAATTGTGGTGTTATATTTAGAAAGCCACGATAACTTTCAACTTTTTTTTGTGTGTGTGGCCTGGGTTACATATTTAAACAGCTATTTCAATAGTTGGGAGGCAACAAGATAAGCAGTGGCATATATCACTAAAATTATTGATTATCTGCCTATAATTATATGTACATTAATCAAACAATGTGTAGAGAATAACAGCTATGAGAACACTACAGTTTTCAAATATTATATTTTCATTTGATAATGTATTTATTGTAATGGTTAGTATGCAATTTTTCTCAAAAAAGGGGACAATTTTATTTATCGTTTATGTATCTATATAGCACTCCCCCTTCACGAAATTTGTCACCATTTAAAATGATCTTTAATCATATCCTGTTTCCGATGGGGCGAGGGGCTTATGTAAATGTATGATGTGACAAAAGTATACCAAGGCAGATACACTCGATTAAAATAAAATCAAACGCTTTCATGCATGTAACATTGTTTTCTGACAATAATTAGCTAAACTGTCTGGAAAGGATACCTATTATTAGTTGAGCACAGCTAGAGGATTTCAAAGATCCCCTTTGCACACAAGAGAATGCCAACGCCCCAGAACGCGACCGTAACTGGATACGCGTTGGAACCAGATTCCACACTCTGATAAGTGACTCCCGCGAAGCGGCTGCTGTAGAATTATGGGTCTAGCGTTTTCCTCCACGACAGCCGCACCGCGCGCAGCTGGCGGCTCACTAGCTCACAGTCGTCGGGGGTGCGGACTGCTGGCTCCGGAAAGGGAGGCCACCTAGACGGGATTGGCCAGGCGGGGATCCCTGCCGGGAAGCCCCATCTGCCGGGGTACCAGACCGACCAAAGGGAGCGTGAACAACCAGTCGCGGGAGACAGCAGCCGGGGACGACCCTTACCCCTGCTCTGGGCATAAAATAGAGATCAAGCCTAGGGACGAGGTAGAGGAAAGAAGTCTCCTGAGCTCTGGATGAGCACTGCGCGGGGCTGGGGATGGGGAGAGAAGAGGGAAATAGGGTATTGAAGCCGCCCGCAAGGGCCTCTTCGCCAGAGCTACCCACGCCTTCAGCGTGAATAAAGAGGAATATGGGCTGCGCCCCAGGGCGGCCTTCTGAGGAGCAGCCTGGTCAGGGTGTTCGAGAAGGAACCGCCTAGGCCTGGACCAAGTGCATACCTGGCTCTTTAGTGGCAGCAGTGGGATCTGGGGGAGAGGACCCTCGTGGACCTGCGGGTGGGGAGAAGACAGCCTTCTGCGTGCGCAGAGAGGGCGACCTTGTGGGCTCTGGCGGCTGCAGTGGGTGTGCGGGCGTGTCTCGGCGTTCTGGGCGCCGGAGGGGTGCTCTGGCCAGTTCTTGGGGTCGCAGTTCTTGAGACTAAGTTTAGGTAAGGCCTAGGAGCGAAGCGCCGCTGAGAAGCGAGCGAATGTAGCAAAGAGAAAAGCAGGCTTCGGTTGGAAACTGGGGACAGAAAGATCATTTCAGCAGCCTTTTTCTTTTTTCCGAATCTTGTAATTACCCAAAAAGCGAAGAAAATTGGGGACCAGAAGGGAGCAGAAACATTTCCCCGTGACGGTTTTGCCTAGGGGTGGGCGCGTGGGTCTGGAGCGCAGCTTCCTTCTCGCACCCAAGCCGGCCACCGTGACGCGCGCACGCACACTCAAGGTCCCCCTCCCGCAGTGCCGCGCACTCACCCCCACCTCTCTCTGGATCTTTGCGCAGAGCGCTCGCGACCCGCAGCAAAACCAGGTGCATTCTTCCCTCTGCAGACTCAAGGCCTGGTTTGGAGACACCGGCCTCTGCCTGGAGCGTCAATAGTTTCAAGATTTAGAGCAGAAAGGCACAGGGCGCCCCTGTGGCTGAGGGATGGTTATCCGGGGGCAAGACCCTGTCCACAGAGGGTCTCTCCCCATCGCCCACGGGCCAACGCAGCCCGAAGTACCACCCTGCGCACTCAGCCCGCGCGGCGCCCCAGCTCCCCGGGCGGCCCCAGAGGCTGCCTCCCTCCACATTTCCGCTCCCTCCCGAAGAGCCCCGCCTCTCTTCACTCCCGACAGGCTGTTCTTCCTCTCCCCGGCCTTGGGCACCCACTCCTCTCGCCGTTGCGGGGGGTGGAGGGAGCGCATGGCAGCTCTCCACCCTCTTCCCCACTCTCACCCAGTGTCTGATGCCGCCCGAGGGCGTTGTCCACAGTCCCTGCACCTTCCACCAGCCCCTTCCAGCTGAGGCCGGTCTCTCTCGCCTCCACCATCCTGGCCGCTAAAAATGCTTAGGGCGGCTGGGACCAGATGAGGGGCGTCACGGGTTAGGTTGGAACTGTTCCCGATATGTTCAAGGCCAGCGCTGTGCACCAGTCTCTCTGTGGGCTCACAGCAGTGCCCGCGCTCCTTACTAGGTTAGGCATAATGGCGGGTGGGTGAACACCTATTGTGCGGGAAGAAGATGGTCCCCACCAGCGCGGAGTTTCCAGGTCTGGGGACCCCATAGATTCCCCCAGAAAACAACCAAGGCCTCAGGAGCGCACCAGAAGGCGTGTGACGGTAGAGAAATTAGAAAGACGCCTTGTAGAGTCAAGGCCTAGACGCAGGCTCCCGATTTCTATAGGCGGAAAAGACGGCCGCCACAGCTGCGTCACCCCCCTTGTGAGGACAGATCCTGCTCTCAAAACTGTGTGAAGCTACCCAGTATGTGTGAACTCCAGCTACGTCACCACCGATGCAGTCAACAAACACTGCTTGACCTCTGATGCAGAACAGCAGTAGTTGACATGTACTGAGCACTTATGCGTAGGGCCCTGCACTAAGCACCTAAGACGTGCTTTGCCTCATTTAACCCTAGCAATAACCCTGAAGAAGGTATTACTGTCTCCTTTTTTATAGAGAGGAAACTGAGGCTTAGAAACGCCCAAGGCCACACACTGACTAGGCCAGGATTCAAACCAAGAGCTGACACCAAAGTTTACTTATAAAACTCTGTCATCTTATCTTTCACATACCTGCTCCCTGCAGCCTCGGCAAGGGGCTACAAGGGCAAATGCAACTGGGACTCTGTCCTCAGGGAGCTCACAATCTAACGGGGCGACCAGACAGGCACAGACAGCTATAAAACTAAATGAGTGGTGGTAAGTGACAGGAATGTCCTTTGCTAACAGGAGCTGCAAGTTCAGAGGTGGGAGAGAGAACTTCCGGCTAGGCGATCAGAGCGCTTCCTTGGTGGAGGTGGTATCTGAGCAGGGCCTTGGAGAACAGCTTTCGACTCGAGGAGACAAGGGCAGGAAAGGCGCTCCAGGTGAAGAGAACAGCTTGAGCAAAGGCAGAAGGCGGAAACTGACACGTCGCCCATCCATAGATAAAACACTCCAGTCTCCTTGTGGATCCAGCGCCCGGTATTTACCGGGCAGGAAGTTTTCCTGCCCCCGCAACAGCTGGAAAAACCACACTCCTGGGGCATCCTTCCCAGGCGTCGGTTCCTGGACAGTGAGCCTTCCAGAACCGGCCCAGGCCGGGAAGGTGCAGCCAGACGGGTAGGCAAACGGTGCTTTGGACACCCGGGTCAGTGCAGCCTCGCCCGCAGCGACTTGGACTTCACAGCTCTTACGCTAGTCCTTGTCTATTTCTGGTAGCGCTGCAATATCCCACTGGGTGGAAGCGAGGGCGTGGCCCACATGAGCCAGAACCAATGGGGAGGGCGGCCGGGGCTCGGGCCCCGCCCCTCGACGTGACGCAAGGACCCCGGACAGAGGCTTCGCAGCCCCGGCCCCAGTCCCTGCAGTGGCTGTAACAAAACCCAGACCCCCAGGTCCCGGCCAATGGAGGCCATTTAGACTGGAGTGGGACCGCGTCTGTCAAAAGCTCGACTCGGCAGCAGCGGTGGAGTCCAGACGGAGAGCTGGAGCCGTCGCTCTGCCTCCCCGCCCCCGCCGGGATTTATTGAGTATTTGGACTGGACAATTAAGTGGCCCTGATGATGTTACCAAGCCCGGTCACCTCCACCCCTTTCTCAGTCAAAGACATTTTGAATCTGGAGCAGCAGCAGCACTTCCACGGCGCGCACTTGCAGGCGGACTTGGAGCACCATTTCCACGCGGCGCCCTGCATGCTTGCCGCAGCCGAGGGCACCCAATTTTCTGACGGAGGGGAGGAGGACGAGGAAGAAGAGGGAGAGAAACTGTCCTATCTGAAATCTCTAGCCGCAGCCGACGGCCGCGGGGATTCGGGGATCTGTCCCCAGAGCTATGTCCACACGGTCCTTCGAGACTCGTGCAGCGGGCCCAAGGAACGTGAAGAGGAGCCCGAGGTCGTGAGGGACCGGAGCCAAAGTGAGTAGAGGGGGAAAGGAAACGCACCCGCACACCTGGAGCCATGGCGGAACGCCCGCAAACAACCCACAAACCTTGTCAGCCCGGCGGCTGCCCTTCCTTTTAACCTTTGACCGGGGTCATGCCTCCGCCCCGGTCAACGACAGCTCCGCAATGCGCAGTTAGTTACCTGCGAGGGAGCCGGGGCGGACGGTGGAAGAAGGATGAGGAGGTGACCCTGACAACGACTCCCCCCAGAGGGGGGAGACGATGCAGCCCCGGGGAAGGGAAAGTGGTTGTTGCTACCCTGATGCTGGTAAGCCACACGGGCTCAGCTGCTGTCTTCATGCTGGCAGTATTTTTGCTCTCCCCGCCCCCCGCAAAAAAAAAAGAGCTCTTCCCAAAAAAGGGGGCAGGAGCCTGAACGTTTTTCGCGTTCCCTGTAGCGTAAGAGGAGTTCTCTGAGTCCAAGGCAGCCACTTCCTTTTCTCCGAAAAGACAACCCAAGTAGGTTGTGTCTCTAGCGTCCGCAGGGTACAGGAACTTTGGTAGAGACCAGATGGGTGGTTTCGTCAGTCCTCTCCTTGGAGCTCAGCGTCCTCGCAGCCGTGGCACTCGGCAGAGAGGGAGGGGACGGTCAAAGAGTGCGTGGGAACACAGTCCATTCCGCGCGACCGCAGCTCTCACACCCCCGAGGCGCCAGCCTTTTTGAAAATTCGTAACGTTTTGCTTTGTGTCCCAGGCTGCGGGCGGAATAGAAAACGCGCCGAACTCAGTCCCGAGATCCCGGCCGCTCACATCAGGCGGGAGGTGAATTGGGTAGGGAGATAGGATAACTGAATAAAGACCCCAGGGAAGTGTTTCTTGGGGACAGAGTCAAAGAATCTCTTTCCCCAAGAGGAGGTTTGATGTGGCTGAGACCAAAACCTATGCACGGACAGCTCCCCAGGCCTAAAATCCACAGAAAATGGTCTAAAATCAGTCAATCGAACTTCGTTTAAGGTAACACAGACATCGTCACGCACACATTTGCATGTAGTCTTTTATGAGCAAAAACAGCCTCTGGGCAACGAGCAAGAGTTACACTCAGATATTTCTGAACAGAAAGATTTTTGCGCAACCCATGCACACCGCCCCCCCCCTCCCCAGTATCAACACACCTCACACCTTCAGCTATCTGTGGTGGAGTGGAAGGCAAACGAGTTTGCAAACACTGTAGGTGCGATGTAGTTGCAATCTTTCATCCCGAAAATAGTCATTAACACGTCGAGCCGCACGTTTAATACAGGGTAATCTCTTCTCTAGCAGATGCTCAATTTCTAAATAAAAGCGCAGTAACTACCCCTTCCCACAAAACGTGCCTCCACCCGCTGAGGGTGTTTTTGGGTCCAGGGTTCCGCCGCGCGAGGAGCCACAAACTTTCCAAAAACCCAGACATTTACTACCGCACGCGAGCCACGGGGCTCCGGGAGAGGAGCCGCGGCGAGGCCGGGAACAGCTAAGGGACGCTGTTGTTTTGCTTCTTCCGCAGAAAGCTGCCCGCTGAAGAAGCCTCTAGAGGCGGCCGGAGACTGCAAGGCTGCTGAGGAGAGCGAGAGGCCGAAGCCGCGCAGCCGCCGGAAGCCCCGGGTCCTCTTCTCGCAAGCACAGGTCTTCGAGCTAGAACGCAGGTTCAAGCAGCAGCGGTACCTGTCGGCGCCCGAGCGCGAGCACCTCGCCAGCAGCCTGAAGCTCACGTCCACGCAGGTGAAAATATGGTTCCAGAATCGCAGGTACAAGTGCAAGAGACAGCGGCAGGACAAGTCCCTGGAGCTGGGCGCGCACGCGCCGCCGCCGCCGCCGCGTCGCGTGGCTGTCCCGGTGCTGGTGCGGGATGGCAAGCCGT